TAACTGACAAAATTAAGAACTCAAAGGGCCAATTTAATACTTAGCTACCAAGGCAAGTGACCAAAATAATCTTATTCAAACCATTAGACAACATTTATAATTATATAGAAACTATAAGACAAGGTTGATTTCTCACCAAACTTGGAGGACCCATGTTACGATTTACCCTTCATGTTTTAACAACATTTCACCAAAACCACGTGACTCTGTTCTAATTTTATATGTCATGTAAAGCTCTTCGTCCAGTGTTCTGTAAATGGAACAAAACAAATTGTCAACCGAATATCAAAACGTCGGTGATCACCACACCGCTCCACGCCCTTGATCGTCGTTCGGAACCCAAAGTACCCCATCGAACTTTCCTCACTCTACTCACGGATCTTATTTCCCTTTACCGAGAATCACCATGGACGATTGTAGATAGCTTCAGTCTACTATTGCGAAACTCATCAACGCCATCAACAAATCGCTGCAAAAGAGATCGGGTACTAGTTCCCTTGTCACAAAATAGAATACCATACTATAATGTGTTGAGTCGGGAACTTACACATTGAAGACCAAATAGGAAAGCCCCTTCTTTGAAGCAACTTGTGCAGCACATCCTTGACGCCTGGCAACATGATTTATTCTTTTTGTGTCTTTAAACTAATCAACAACAACCAGATCCATTAAATGCTTTCCCGTAGAAATCTTTGATTTGTTGTAACAAAAATGCTTTCTACGTACTCTGAAATTGTTACTATCCGATATTCTCCAACAGTCACTAGAATTATCACGGTCATCACGCCGTAGATTACCAGAAAATCTTGACAAATCAATTCTCTCAACCGGTTCTTCTTCCAGGGCTGTTCTCTTGATATCATAGTCACTTTTAGTAGGATATGCCTCTTGTTTTGCTTCAATCATTTGTTCTTCATCCTAATCGGAGTATTTATCCTTCAACAAAGAGTTTCGACTTGCAGCATTCATTTGATTAAGACAAGCAGTGAGGGGATCAAATAACTCATATATCATTTCTTTTGAGTTTTCTTTCCAGTTGGCATGAGTTAAAAATAATACCAAGGCTTTAGTAGATACAAAAGTTGACCGAAAGTAAAAGTTGAAAGCAATAGATTCCAACCATGGTTGCATTATCCTTACTTAAAAAAATATATCTCTTATTGAGTGGCTCTCAATTTGTTTACTAAAATAATAGTATGATAACACAATTATTTGTCAATCATACTTTATATCATTTCACATATTTTAAACAAAAAGGAATCTAACCCTATATTGGGGTGTGACAAAAGATTTATATTGTTAACATATGTCTATTCACCCTAAAAATATCTCTGAATCACCACCGGACTCAGAAGTTCCTTAAAACAAGAGTGAAATTGGTGGACTCTCAATGCCTTTGTTGTTGGTGCGGATCTGTTGTGGAGGATGCTAATCACTTGCTTGTGGGTTGCAACTTCATGGACTGTTTTCGGAATGCAATTTTGTTAGTGGTGGGATGTTCAAGTGGCAACGATTATGCTTATTTCATCAAGGAGCTTCATCAGATTGGTCATCTCTAGAGGCTGATTTTGTGAAATTTGATGTGAATGGAGCTACAAAAGGAAGAGAAACAGGTTGCGGTGGTGTTCTACGTACGGAGGAAGGAGTAATAAGAGAATTGTTCTCTAGTCCAGTGGAGGGACTAGAGGCCGATTATGCTTAGGTTGTAGCTATCAAAACGGCCTTAGATGTTTTTGTTGAGGCTAAGTAGATGGGAGTTCTATACAACGTACATACACTCCGTAGATATAACTATTTGAATACAGGTTTTCTAAAGAAAATAATATTTCCTTTACTACCGAGATTACTGACATTCTCAGTGTTAATGAGTACTTGTTTATGCAAATTGGACGGTTAATAGAAAGGGATTCTTCCAACCAGTAATTGGTAATTTACAACACAAACTTTCGGGATGGAAACTGGAAAGCAAATAAAAGTAGTGATGAACCCAAGAATTTCTGAGTAATATAAGGATATAACAGATACTAAATCTTAGAAGTTGGAGATGGGACTGATCAGGTCATAGAGAAGAAATGGGCACAATCAGTTCCTGAAAATGGGTTTATCAAAGTGACCACTCCATGGTTGAGGCCAGGTTGGAAATAGGAATGAACCGATCAAAACTTTTATTCTTATTTATTCATTTATTAAATGAATATAAAAAAATTATACATACTTATTTATTTAACTTATTAAATAAATATTATACAAACGATTCATAAATAATTTATTGAACACTTTATTCATTTACACTAGTATTCATAGACACTTAGAAGAAAGATAATTGCAGGACCTAGAAATGATGCAGTGAACATGCATAAAGAGATTAGCAGGAAAAGCTGCAATGGTGAGATCCTGAATGGCAAAGGAGAATCTACCAATACCATTATGAAATAATGAAAGAACATTTACTCCCTCTAAACCATTATTTTGCAGTTGCGTGCTACTAATCGCCTTGAAAAAAGCTCAGCAGGCGACTTTTTTTCTTTAATAAGCTGTCCCAAAAAGTTGATACAATGCTTCTGTCACTGTAACCCACTTTGAGGCAACAGCAGATCTTTAGGTTACGGCTACGTTGTACGTGAGTGAGAGAAAAGGTTGAATAAAGCCTTCATTTATGGGTAGTTTTAACTTGGTGATATTTTAATTTAAGGTTAATTTAAGATATTTTTTAACTTAAAATATTATATTTAACCTAAAAAACTATACAAATTTATAATATTTTGATTACAACTGAAAAATATTATTAAGAAAGAAACATTTTCAGTTGGAATAAAAAATATTATTTTTCATTTCTTTTTTTTTCTTGTTAAGTTTAAAAGAGTCTAAAATACAAACGGTTAATATAAGGTTAAAATGACATAAACTGATTGTAACCGAAAAACTTGTTAAGAGAGTAACTTTTTAAGTTAGATAAGATAACGTTTTAGGTTAAAACAAAAATATATTACATTTTTCATATCATATCATGCAAATCACATAAGCATTTTGGTTACAACTTTAAAAGTTATGGTCAAGACATTTTAGTTGTAATTGAAATCACTATAAATTGTATAACTTTTTTAGATTGAACATATAACATTTTAGGTTAAAACTTACAGTAATGTATTAATTTCAGTTAGAACTGAAATTGTTACAAATTATATAACTTTTAAATTAAAAATCGTCATAAATAAACCTTAAAATAATCTGTGGCGCTGAACTGCATGTTAAATTTACCCAAGGCTTCAAGCTATGATCGCAACATTGAAGGGAGATGAGATTGTGGTTGACGCTATTCAGTGGTGCAACGCTATAATGGAGAACACAATATTGGCTCTACGTGGAGGGCACTTGCCATAACCATGTATGCTTGTTGTCGATGGAGAAACATGTACACTAGATTTTAGGAGTGTGGATATATATATATATCAAACCTGTATAAATTGGAATTGGGACAAGTGTCAGGACACGAAAATTATTTTATGAACTATTCTCATTACATAATTCATTATTTATTTATTTTCTTTTTTTCTTTCATATCATTAAACGACTCATACGTAACTTTCAAGTAACTATCTACTTTTATATGTATATGAAAAAAGATTGATGATTATTTCTTTAAAACGACATGAAAGGAAAAAAATTATTAATTGAGATAATGAATGACATAGAGAAAGTTCATATAATATTTTTTTATTAGGTACAACCTTAACTAGATATATATATATATATATATTTATTTATTTGGAAGATTCTTAGAACTCATCTTCAAATCCATTTTTAAAGCCTGGTGGTGGTAAAGGTGAGGTATTGAGAATATGGTTTGTAGAATGAGGTACGTTCTGAATATTTGGAGAGGTGGATCTCGAAGGGTGTCCGCAAACAGTTAAGCATGCTCAAATTTATGTTCTTTTGTAAGGTAATGTTGCTTACTAGGGTGTTAAAAAAATTGTAATTTGTTCTGTTCTTGTAAGTGTTGTGAGATTTTGTCTATGTAGGCGACTCTTCTATAACCTTGATCATCATTTTGTGCTCTATTTTCAAACATGTTATAAAATCTTCATTACGAGTAACACGTTTTTACTTGCTGAACATATCATATAAATAAAAGTGCTTTTAATTAATCATATTTTCAAAATTACTTTTGACAAACTCCTTTATCATAGAAACAACATTAAACATATATTAGAGTTTTGTATGTATAATTCCAAAGTTGGAGTCTTTGATTCAAAACGTTTTAGATAACTATTATTTGGAGATTTTTTAATAAAAATAAATTAAATATATATTTTTTAAAAATATATAATAATTCAATATCGAACGATTAAAAGTATTTTAATATATAATATATTATATTTAATTCATATTAATAAAAAAATAAACCAGATTTTGGTTTTACTTTCGCCATCACAATTAACAGACCGGCAGAACAGTAAGCTTTTGATCCAGACAGAACAGTGAGCTTGACCTAGTAGATGCTATCATTTTTTCTTCTGTATCTACGAGTGCCGTGGGAGAATTAAGCTACCCTGGTAATAGCATGTAAGCAGAAATTGGGTGTATTTAGGGTTCATAGCCATCTAAATTTACAATATCTCATGCGTTCTACAATGCCGAGTTGAGAATTTATTAGTCCTTATCATGCTATTGAGTTTCCCCCACACATCATACCTCGAGAAACCAGAACACTTCAGCAACAGTCGTAAAATAAGAGGAAAAACATAAAATCTTTTGATTTGATTGGAAAGATCCAGCTGCTGGCATTTAGCAGCAGCCGCCATTCCCTTCCCAAAACATCAGCAGTTGAACATATGAAGGCGGCCCACCACCCTCGAAAAACACGACCCTTTAAGGCATCAAAACTGCCCCCACACCACTGTTCAACTGGAAAAAAAGGCTCACACACTAATATACTAGGGTACTAAAGCTAAACACCATTTAAAATAATATAGATAAATTGATGATCCGTGATTGTGTCACTTCACTTCAATAGGGTGCTGCGCCGGATGAAGCTGACTGCACTTGCAGCAAGTGGTGGTAGCAATCGGCGGCAGTCGGTCTCTGCTCAGGGTTCTGATCCAAGCACCTACTTTCCAACTCCCTCAGCATTTTCGGCACGACTGTGAGCCCACACGTCTTGACCAAGTAGCCTACACCCCACACGTCCACTTTCACCCCATGTAAACCCCTCCCCATCTCCGGAGCGTGTCTTCCACGCGCATCCCCACTGGCCACCAGGTGCGGATACATCTGCGGTGCACCTACGGCCTCATCGAACCCACAAAGGAACAATTCGTTTTCCACGTCGGTTCTCCGCATCACTTTGTCCCACCCCAAGTCCCTGTGCATGAAGCACAAGTCATGTAGAGCAACCAATGCTTTTGTCACGTACTTAAGAGCTTCCACGAGCTGCTCACAGTTGATGGGCGTGAATCTGCAACCTCTAGGCTTAAACACCAGTACAAGATCTTTCTCACATGCCCGACAGATGAATTCGGCGTGCGGGATTCGATGATCCAATATGTCGTATATTTCTTTCACTGCTGCCCATTTTTTCTTGTTGGAGAATGATCTTGTCACCGTATATGGCGTCATCTCCATTATACTTCCATTCCCCAAATCAAACCTTTCGAAATCACTGAATGGAAATTGCTTGTACGAGCCAACAACATTATTGATGGCACTGAAGCATCGATCAGCCAACAAAGGCAAAAGGCCTGCGATTCTAAAGCATGGCACTAAAGCTTTCAGTCTCTCCGAGGGAGACGATAGATCTGCCGAATATAAATCTGTTCTGATAAGCTGATCGCCGGATCGGCTTACGGCACAGAATGTTACCATGTAGCCAACAGCATAATAGCCTAATACGTACGGCAGATCAGTGTAAGTCCATAGCAACTTCTCCACCAGAGAAGATGATGGATCAACATGCCCTTCCCTCACTTGATCAGTCTCCTCTCCCCTCCACAGGCAAAATTTTCTAACGAAACCTGTCAAGTTCGGCCATTGATCCTGCAATGGCTCGGTTAACGATGATGGTTTTCGGATCATAACCATTTCAACCGAACAAAATTTGGAAACAACCCTGTTGATGCAATCGTCCCAAAGGGAAATAAAAGAGTCTCTCCCTGTTGCAGTAGCAGCACTTAGACTAGGGTTGGTGCGGATAATTGAGCTCAACACATCATATACGATTGCTCTACAATCTAACAGTTCACTGGAAGTAGTAAACAATACTTCTTTACCGGCAGGCAAATCTCGGTACACATCTTTCCTTAGAGGAAAACGATATTCCTCGGGTGGGGGCTCCTGTAAATGCCATGAAAGCTCAAACAAGCTCGGCAGTGTCGTTGGAGGAACTTGAAGACACCCAATGAAGTAGTCTGTTGGATCTTGGTATTCCAATGGTGGCATTGTTGCAGCTAAACCAAACAATAATCTTATCAACGCAAGCACTTTCTCCGAGGAAAAGCCATCAGGGAATCAAAATATTCACTAGATTCTATGTATTTACAATGTTTAAGCTATAAAGATTGCCAAGTGCAGAATAGTTTTAATTGGACTTACATCTGATAGGGGGTTCTGCAAAGGGAAGCTGCGTTCTTTCAGTGAAACCTGGTTTTCATTAGAGAGAGAAAGAGAAGATGACTTTTAGATGGATATTCCTGAACAGTTTCAGAAATATAGTAAAACATTAACAAACTTGCCTGTAACAGATGACTTTCTCCTGCCAAACACTTTCACTTGCTGTCCATTGACGAATCTATCTACAGAGAAACCTTTTAGAGGACCATCTTCAAAAGCTTCTACTGTGCAGGCAACCATGGAATCATCAAAGAATGTGAGTTCATCTGCGTTTAAAAAGCTTGAACCTTGAAGCCTCACTCTTCCTCTATGGTGCTCGCCTTCTTCCGCCCATAAGCTTACTGATTCCTCCCATGTCATTCTTATCTTCCCTATCCTACGTAGCTCCTTGGAAGAAGATGAAGTTAGACCAAAACCAACGTCCAGTGAAGTGTCGAACCCTACGGCCAGACTTCCTCTAGTTCCATGAAAGAAAGCATCACCTCCCCCAGTTGTTACCAGTTGTTTTGCCCTCGCTAAATGAAACAATATGTAAAAACACTTTAAGTTTTTAACTTTTTTGAAAATGGAAAGTATGTTTTGCTTACCGGAGAGAGGAAGTTCATCTACTTTGAACGGAGGGGGAGGAAGAGTTCTAGTACCAGAAAGAACCGACCGACCATCTTCAATTGAGGTAATTGCAGAAGTTCCTCTGCTTTGAGAAGCTCTCAGGCGAGTCCCCATGAACTGAGACAACTCCTCGAAGACTTCCTCATCAAAGGAAGCTGGTAATCTATGTAGTTTCCTCTCATATGGAGAAAGTCTGAAGTAACTCTTGCCGACTTGTTCCTTTTCGCTTCCTCTCTCCCATTCATACACTTTTCTAAACTCTCCCAACATGTTATCCCACTTGGTACCTGCAGTTTTGGCATCTCTGTTGATCCCATGTTTGTTTAGAAACTCAGCTACTTCCCTCTCTTTATCAGCCCTAGTCTTGCCTCTTGTTGATTGTACTGCAACATCGCTGCCAGACGTTTCGGACCCTCCTTGATATTGAGTCCTCCAAGCCCTTGCCAGCCACAACATTTCATTTGGTTTCCAAATGGGGCTGACATATTTCCCTTTCCTGAACTGATGATGAGGTTGCTGCTCTCCTTCGCGTTTGCTGGTTTCTTGAGGGGAGTGAGGTGGAGATGAGGCTGCATCCGAGGAGGAAGCCTGTGTTTGAGGGTTTATGGTTGGAGAAGGGCTTGATTCGCTTGTGATTATTCCCCCTTGGGGTTGTAGTTTCCATTGGCCACTGCTGTATCGAGATCTCTTGGGATTAACCGACTCAAACTGTTGTTCAAAGGGAGAAGAAGCTGCAACAGATGGGATATAAAAAGGCACAGAGATGAAAGGAGTTCCAGCCGATGGTTGCTGCAGGATCTTTTGCCTTGATTCCGATGATTCCTCATGCTGCTCTTTGGGAGAAGACGAGAGCTGATTCTTGGTTGTAACATCTCCTTTGTTACCACCCATCTCAAATATCCTCAGGGAAGAAATCAACCTTAGACAAGAACCAGAACAGGAAGCGCCACCAGCATTACTGTTGAACTAGCTCGGTTTCAGGTCTTATCTTTGTTCTATTAATTGACAAAAGCTCCACAAAGGGGATATTTTCTGGTTCTTGTGGAGTTTTCGATGGCCAAAACGTCTCTCCAAAAGGGAAAAAGTTGAAAAACAATAGGGAAAATCATAGCGCCATAGGAAAAGCAAAAGCAAAACATCTAGGATAAGCAAGAAGTAACAGAAAGAAAAAAAAAGTCGACAGTGTGGAACTGCCATGAATAAGACCCTTCAGTTAATTATCAGGTAGTTCAACCACACAATGTTATGTTGATGTGTGATTTTGACAAGTAAGGAGGATGAAAGAGAGATAAAAGGGTATACTTTTAATATATATATATATATTCGTGATGGTGATTGTACTGGAGCTGCAAACCGCAGCTACAAGAAAAAACATTGGCCTACTAGCTACCATTGTTTTCTCGACAGAATTGTATTTAATGTTTCATTGAAAGATAGAATAGAGGAGAGAGAGGGTTCCAACGTGGAGTGAGGGGGTGGAGTCGGCGTGAGTGAGTGTGCATACTTCTTTTTGGTTGCAGAGGTATTCTTCGATGTGGACACTTCAAACCCATGGCTGTGCTGTGCCCCCCAATCACTCACTCTCTTTGCTTCGCCAACGCCCATGCCTTTGCATTATTTTGGTTTTGGATTAATTACATAAACTATTACTAGATATTAAACTAATATTTGGATAAAGTATACAAATAATCTCTCAATTATATAGTGTAACTTTATTAAATTATTCAACTATTAAAAGTTATAAACTCGATTAAAGGGCATTTTTTATTAAGTTATCGATTATTAAAAGTTATAAAATATCACGTAACCATTAATATATTTTAAACTCATATTTTTCTGTTAAAAAATTGATGATTGTCTGAGCTAGATGTTAATTTGTTGTTCAAGTATTAGCTCAACGACATAATATAAATGGAGGGTTGATCCAAAAAAATATAGCTCGAACGATTCTGGGATCAAATTTAACATATTACAGTTAACAGGTCAACTTCCAACTCAAACGACCGTCAATTTTTCAATAGAAAAATATGAGTTTATAACACATGAATAATTGAGGGTCATTTTATAACTTTTAATAATCGAGATTTAACAAAGTAATACCCTATAGTCGATGAACATTTTTGAATTATACCAATAATATTTTCAAACATTAAAATTTTAGAACTAATAGAATAAATATTGAAGTTTATATTTTATTATAAAATAACTAATTATATAATACTTATTTTTTAATAGTTTAGGGTGATTAATTATGCTTTCAGAAGTAGCTAATTGAACTCATAATCTCTATGAAGAATTTAAAATTTATTATTTATTTTATAATTTTTAAAAGATTAATTCAAAAAAATTATATTGACATAGTATAGTAATCCTTTTTTATTCTTTACCCTTTGATATTGATTAACTCAACTCTTTTAGAATCTAAAACATAGTGTTGATTTAATAAGTTTTAAAAGTTTAGTAATCGATTTAGCATAATATAGTGATCATTTGTTTATTTTATCTTTTAGTTTTTATCTACAAATTGATACCCGAAATTTGTAATTTATTAAATTGGTAACTTAAATTTTTGTTCTTTAAAATCGATACATGTGTTAACATGACATCTCAATAATCAATGAGATTGTTAATGTAACATTGGTAGATGTTGACGAAAACGGGTAAAGAAAACGAAAGAACACGAGAATTTTACGAGGTTCGGCAATGTGCTTACGTCCTCGGAGCCTAGGCGGCGCTAGAATTTTATTCAATGATATTTTAGGTCTAGGTTACATCTCTATTTATAATAGAAAACCCTGGTACATAATTACAAAATTAACCCTGTACCGTACCGCGGGGGCTACGCCCCCGCACCCCCAACCCACATAATTTGTAATCCCACAACGAGACTTTCTTTGTAAGGACAATTGATGTTCACTTCGCTCCATCTCCTGTCCTCTTTACTGGTATATTTATGAGCCATACCTAACAAATCTCCACCTTGGCGAATATCCTGCCCCTTGGAAACTTCAATGTGGGTTGGGTTACCTTGCTTCTTTAACAACTCGAAACATTCAACAAGTCCAAGCAATGCTTGAACTTGTCTGTCGTAACTGGCTTGGTGAACATATCAGCGGCATTCTCATCAGTATGTACCTTCTGAAACAAAACCTCTCCAGATGCAACCAACTCTCTGATCTTGTGGAACCTTACATCAATATGTTTAGTTCTAGCACGATACACCTGATTCTTAGCCAAGTGAATAGCACTTTGATTATCACAAAGCAACTGAACTCCACCTTGTTGAACACCCAACTCCTTCACTAAACCAGTAAGCCATAAAGCTTCTTTTGCAGCTTCAGCCGCTGCCATGTATTCAGCTTCAGTTGTAGATAGTGCCACGACAGATTGAACAGTAGACTTCCAACAAATAGGCCCTCCACCAAGAGTAAACACATACCCTGTCGTAGATCTTCTATTATCCAAGTCACCTGCATAATCTGAATCCACATATCCTACAACCAAAGGATTATCCCGTGACTCCCAAAAACAATTCCATGTCCCACAGTACCCTTTAAGTACCGAAAGATCCACTTGACTGCATCCCAATGTTGCTTACCAGGTTTAGACATGTACTTACAAACTTGACTAACAGCATGAGCTAAATCAGGACGAGTACATACCATCGCATACATCAAGCAGCCAACAGCATTAGAATACGGAACCTTTGCCATATTTTCAGCTTCCTTATCTGTCTTAGGGCACTGTTCTGATGAGAGCTTAAAGTGATTCGCCAATGGAGTGCTAACTGGTTTCGCGCTGCTCATCGCAAACCTTTCTAGCATTTTCTCAACATAACCCCGTTGAGATAGCCGCAGTTTCCTTGAGTCTCTGTCCCTGCAAATTTCCATTCCAAGAATTTTCTTTGCAGCACCTAAATCTTTCATATCAAATTCCTGACTCAATAAAGTTTTCAAACCGATAACATCATCTATGTTCTTCGCAGCAATCAACATATCATCAACATACAGTAATAGAAAAATAAAAGAACCATCATCAAGGCTCTTAACATAGACACAACAATCATACTCACATCGGTTGTAGCCAATCTTGATCATATAGGAGTCAAACCGTTTATACCACTGTCTCGGAGACTGTTTTAACCCGTACAAAGATTTCTTCAATCTGCAAACTAAATGCTCGTTTCCAGGTTGAGTGAAACCTTCAGGTTGCCGCATGTAGATCTGCTCCTCTAAATCACCATGCAAAAAAGCAGTTTTAACATCCATCTGCTCTAAATGCAAATCCCAACTAGCCACCAATGCAAGTACTGCTCGGATTGAAGTGTGCCTGACCACAGGAGAAAAGATTTCATCATAATCAACTCCTTTCTGCTGTGAAAAACCCTTCGCTACCAAACGAGCCTTGAACTTCTCCCCCTCTTTTTCTGTTACTGCTGGTTTCTTCTTATACACCCATTTGCAACCAATCGGCTTCTTACCCTCAGGAAGGGGAACAAACTCCCATGTGCGATTGTGATTCAAATACTCCATCTCCTCAACCATGGCTGCCATCCACTTGTCGTTTTCCTGACTAGTAACGGCATCATGAAAAGTAACTGGATCATCACTGCTAACAGTAAGTGCAAAAGATACCAAGTCTTCAAAACCCAATCTGTTCGGAGGCTTTATATTCGTCCGTCTCACCCTGTCTCTGGCGAGACTATAATCCTGCAAATCATCCGTAGTGGAACCACCAGAAGTCGGTTGAGAAGTTTCTGGTTTCTCAACTGGAAACTGCTCGAAATCTACCACTGTCGTGTCTTGCTTCTGCTGCAACATAGACTTTTCATCAAAAACGACATCTCTACTAATCACAACTTTCTTCGCAACTGGATCCCAGAACTTGAATCCTTTGACACCTTTCTTGTAACCCAGAAAAATGCACTCCTTCGATTTTGCATCAAGTTTGGATCTCTCATCAGCAGGTACATGCACATAAGCAGGACAACCAAAAATCCGTAAGTTATCAAAACTAACATCATGACCAGTCCATACCTCTTCTGCAACTTTCCCAGCCAGCGATGCCCTTGGCGATCTGTTGATAAGGTAACACGCCATATTAACAGCCTCAGCCCAGATGTGTTTGGGAAGCCCCGCATTCAACCGCAAACATCTGGCTCTTTCATTCAACGACCTGTTCATTCGTTCCGCAACACCATTCTGTTGTGGTGTCTTGCGCACTGTAAAATGCCTCTGAATCCCATGCTCCTTACAGAATTGTAGGAACTGTGAATCTGTGTACTCCGTACCATTGTCATACCGCAAACACTTGATTTTTCGTCCTGTTTGGTTTTCTACCTCAGCTTTCCACAGCTTGAACTTCTCAAAAGCTTCAGATTTCTGTTTCAAAAAATACACCCAAACTTTCCGTGAAAAATCATCAATAAAAGTAACATAGTACCTAGATCCACCCAAAGACGATGTCGTGTAAGGCCCCCATACATCAGAATGCACATAATCAAGAATCCCTTGAGTTGTGTGCTTCGCAGTCTTGAAACGGACTTTAGTCTGTTTACCAAGAACACAATACTTGCAAAAATCGAGCTTACAGCTTTTGACACCATGCAACAAGTTTCTCTTGTGTAATTCTGTCATACCACGTTCACTAAGATGAGCAAGGCGAATATGCCACAATTTTGTCGTATCATCACAGGACTCAACAGAGTGAACTCCACCTGCAACGGTACTCCCTAACAATCTGTAGATATTCCCTGCAGTCATCTTGCCTTTCATCACAGTCAATGCTCCTTTAACAATCCGAATGGTTTCCCTATCCTCGTCAGCCTTAGGGATAAAACCATTCTTGTGCAAAGTGCCCAAGGAAATCAAATTCTTCTTCAAGTCTGGGAT